AATTGCCATGGATGTGGTGTTTGATATAGTTTACGTTCAATTATAACTATTTTAGGCAGAAAAACGTATATTGACGAAACCTTTTTTAATGATTTACTATAATTTAGAAAGGTTTTTATGAGAAATCATTTCAAAAGTAAACTTATTTTTCATTTTATATTTCAATTTGAAATGTTTGCACACATTATTAATTTATACATTTTTATAAAAAAAAATTAAATTATAGTAAGTCACGTAAGTATATGTACAACATGGAAAAGTAAATAAAATAAGTTTAATAGGATGTGGATTTATTTTCTCTCACCTTGTAATTACACAATCAAACAATCTATAATTTAGCTCTGACCTTCCCAAAAACATTTAGTTGAATTGGACACATTTTACAAAGCTCTATCGACAGACATGCAATGACTGGGACTGATGGAAGAATCTGAGAGGAATGAACTAGGAGCAGAAAAATAATCATATTTAAAAGACAGCATTGTCATAAGAGGCCAACAAGAGTCACATGGGTTTGTCACTTTGCTGAAGGATATTTGTGACCAGCTATCCAGGCCAGACTCTAAAGACTTTCCAAGGTGTAAAATGCTGCTGCTGGAGTACTGACTGGAAGTATTGCTGATATCATGTCTACCATGTCTTTGACATGAAGGAGACCTTGAGGTGTGTGTGTGTGTCTTATCGGGCGAGCTGCTGTCAAGTTGTGGAAACGTAATAAGTAATAAGAGACGCTGTTCTAACTTTTATTGATTTCAGATGCCCTTGCAAACAAGCAACAGGAGTCTCTGATGAGGAGAGAGCGATGGTGGAGAGGATAAGACGTGACAATTACTAAAGATCGTATTTTGGACTGAAGAAGTCTCTACATATGCGGGGAAAAAACTAGCACTAAAATAAACTACTGCTACAATTATCTGCCGGTTGGATGATTTTCATAGTTTCAAAGGAAGACAGTCATTTGCTATACACGTTTTTTTTATGTACTTTGTCAAAGAAAACAATAGAAGCGTTTAAAAAAATAGTGATGCCCATTCGATTCGATCATTTTATACCTTCACGTTATGAACTCTTTTTTTCAAATACAGAGTGAAAACCTTTGCTTGGCCATTAGAAACAGTTAGTGATTGTTTATCGGCTGCAAAAAATCTACATCATTCAGGGTTTCCCACACATAGACTTTACTTGGGCGGGCCGCCCAGGTATATTAACGTCCGCCAATGTATATTTCGCGACCCATTTAGGTTTAATTTTTGATTATCTGTCCGCGAGCACGATGCCATCTGCGATCGATTAACTAGTGAACAATGATCCCAAATCACATTCCCTCCCATCAGGCTCATGACTATTTGTGTTTTATGACAAGGTATAGCTGCTGAGAAACTTCTGTCCCGACAAAAAGGAGCTGCTACAGACTCACTCTGTGGTGTCGACTTCTCATTGGTCCAGAAAGTTATTTAAAACGACGAATAGTGGAAACAAAAAGTTAAAAGTGACTCTCTCTTTTGCTCTCTGACACGCACACTTGGGCAATTTAATTGCTGCTACGATCATTCAAATGGCAAGAGACAGCAGTGTGGGTATGAGAGTTGTAACAGTGCATAAAGGGATCATTGGACCAACATTCTATTAGGGATTGAACAGAAACCACAAACATCTCAGTAGCACAAACCAAAGAACGTCTGATAGCTGAAGCCACTGGGCTGTGACGCCTCATTAAGCTCGGACTAAAGAGGCAGTTTGGGTCTAATTGAATTTCAATGCGTCTTACTATTAAAACAAAGGGGAATTACAGTTCTGCTGCTCAGGCAGAGTCATCTTATGTCGGCCAACACACTGGTACAGCAGTTCTTCACTCTGTGGTATTTCTACATAACCTTTTTATTATTAATTTTGGATTAAAAAGCAAAGCCAGGGCATGGAGGTCTGACATTTAAAAGCCGTTTCTGATTTCCAGGGCCTGGAGGGCAGCTGCCTCTCTTCACCTCTCTAACAGCATGAGGCAGAGCTTTTCCTCCTGCTTAAACAGACACCTGCAGACTCAGGATCAGAACCTAGAGGCAGTTTCCACCCCTTCACCCCCAGCATCCAGCATCCTCTTCCCTCTGACAGTTTAAGCATCTAATCCCTTCGAAAGAAAACCCCCTCCGGTTGGTGGAGATAGTTGTTTTTACTACGTTGGAAAAGGATGTATCAGAACGCGAGAGAGCGACAGGCAGAAAGAACTGATGGTAAATGAGGCAGAGAGAAAAGGAGGGGAACAAAATCATGTCAAAACAAATAAAGCGTCCACTAGAATCAAAGTCCTGTTGGCACTAAGGTCAATAAGTCAGCTTAGGCAGGATTTGAGCTAGCACGCTGGGGGATCTTAGAAAGTTTAGGATAACAGCTGACTCCGTGTCAGTGTGGAAACAGCATGTGTGCTGGTGCCATGGGAGTAGAGATGTCACAATACCATCAATTAAGACGACGATATCGAAACCAAGAAAATTCCACACATTTTTTTCTCAATACCCAATCGAACACCACGTGTAATGGCATCCAAGGTTTCCTTTTGCCACTATAGAGCGGGGTTGACGACACGCAATCAATCCAAAGCAATAAGCAGCCGAAGGTTTTCAGTCAAAAATTTTAATTTATTAACAAAAAGTATTGACTTAGGCTAAATAGTCTAAAAATAACAAATCTAAATCAATATTTCGGCGGTATGCTTTCCTATATAAACTATACTTTGCAGTCCAATTTGCAACACTAATCTCTGTTTATAATTTGCGGTCGAAAAACTGTTCCGCTCCCCGTCTCATCAGGTCTCCGAGCACGCCGGCTGTCCTCAATTACCTCACTTAAATACACACCGGAAGGTACAAGGAAACAGATCATATTTACGATATAAAATTAACAATCATTTCCTCAAAACATATTCACCATGGCAATATAAATCATTTTCCATCATTAAATCATTTATCAAATTATGAATCGAAATAATAACTTTGTGGCTCTAACACACCAGCCCCTAATTGTTGGCGCAGTAGCAAAACAATTAATACATTATAATAGAGCCAAAAAACAAGCAGTTACTCAAAATGTAACTGTCATCAATATACAATCATTGTCATAGTTCACAGTCCAATGTTTGTGTTAGGTGTGTTTGCATGAGTTCAAGAGGAAAAGGGGGGGGGGGGGGGGGGGGCATGTGTGTGTGTGTGTGATACTGGGTGTCAGAGGTTACTAGCACATGACACCTTGTGTTCAATCAACTGCTTCCAGGAGCAGACAGAGCTTGTCAATTGGTCGCTGTAAGGTGCTACCCTTGGTTTTCACCAAGACACTTCGGACAAGCCCTTTCGACCCTGACAGTGTCTTTATCACCCGGCCCAGTTGCCAGGAATTTCTTGGTGCAGTGTTATCCACGATGACGACGAGATCATTGGGGCGAAGGTTCCGTTTGGGGTTGTGCCATTTGACTCGCTGTTGCATGGTTGGGAGATATTCTCTTATCCATCTCCTCCAGAAGAGATCTGCGAGGTATTGTGCCTGTCTCCATCTCCTCCGTGAGTACAAGTCCTCCTTGTGAAAGAGTCCAGGTGGCATAATCGGTTTTGTCTTTAGCAGAAGGAGGTGATTTGGCGTGAGGGGTTCGAGATCGTTTGGGTCACTTGAAACTGTAGTCAATGGTCTGTCATTCATGATGCTCTCAACTTCGCACAAAGCTGTCTGTAGAGTCTCATCATCCAATCTCTGTTCTTTTAGAACGGAACACAGAATCTTTTTTACAGGTCTGATGAGCCTCTCCCAAACTCCACCATGGTGGGCTCCATATGGCGGATTAAAAGTCCATTTACTCCGTCCCCGAGTAATGCATTTTGAATCTTGTGTTGATTCAGGTCTTTAAGAGCAGCTCTTAGCTCTTTCTGTGCTCCCACAAAGTTTGTGCCGTTGTCGGTCCTGATGCTTGTCACCTGCCCTCTGCGACATATGAATCTGCACAAAGCATTGATGCAGGAGTCAGTGTCCAATGAGCTCGAAACTTCCAGATGTATGGCACGACTCACAAGGCAGGTGAAGATCACTCCCCAACGTTTTACATTTGCTCTGCCTCGTTTAACCTCCAGGGGTCCAAAGAAGTTGATACCAACATGAGTAAAGGGTGGTAGATCTGGAGACACCCGATCCTCTGGGAGGTCAGCCATTTTCTGCTCTCCAACTGTGGCTAGCATTCTTCGGCAGAAAACACAGGCTCTGATTATCTTTCTGGCTGCCGAGTTCGCACGAGGCAACCAGAATCTTTGATTTAGTCTTGAGAGCATGTGGCTTCTCCCCGAGTGTCCAATCTGCTGATGGATGTGGCCCAGGATCACATTGGATACAGTAGAGTCTCTGGGCAGGATAATGGGGTTCTTCAGATCCATTGGCATTGCTGATTTGCTTATTCCTGCTCCCACTCTTAGCATGCCTTCAACTAAGATTGGGTGCAGCTTCCTGATAGAGCTGCTTGCTCTTACTTGCCTTCCCTTCTCCAAAAGTGCAAGTTCCTGAGAGAAGTGACGTCTTTGCTCGGAGTGAATTATTGACCTTTCAGCTTCTCTAATGTCCTCCACAGACAGATGTTGTGATCCAAATGTCAACTTTAGCTTGTTCATTTTGTCCTTTAAGGATTTCAAAAGAGTCCAATCTGGGGCAAGGTCAGCCTTTGCAGATTTCCTTCTTTGATTTAGCAGAAGAAGAATTCCCCTTAATTTAAGTATCCAAGCAACCCCTCTCTGCAGTCTGCTCCATGATGAGTAATACTCAAACAGTTTGCTGGTTGGGTTGGTTTCGTGGACACTCAAACTGTTAACTGCTATGTCCTTTCTAACCTCTGGGTCCTCTGATGGAATAAGGCCCAGGTTCTTAGGTGTTTTTGGCCAATATTCCTTTTCCTTTTCCAGATACTTAGGTCCTGTTATCCACCTTGATGTCTTTAGAAAGTCTTCTACATGCAGCCCACGGGATACGTCGTCGGCAGGGTTGTCTATGGAGCTCACATGCCTCCACTGCTTCTCCTGAGACAGGTCCTTGATCACTGAAACTCTGTTTGCCACAAATGTGTGATATCGTTTAGTCTGGTTGCTGATGTATCCGAGGACAGAGGTGCTATCTGTCCAGAAGGTTGAGTCGTTGAGGTCCACTTTAAGCTCCCTTTTCAACATCCTGTCCACCTTTACTGCAAGTGTTGCTGCAGTAAGCTCCAATCTGGGAATAGTGATCTGTTTGAGTGGAGTCACTCTGGATTTTCCCAAAATAAATGAAACATGGACCCTTCCCATACTGTTTGTAAAGCGAAGATAGCTGGTGGTGCCGTAACCTTTTTCGCTTGCGTCACAGAAGTGATGAAGTTCTGCATCCCTCTTAAACCTCTTTAGGAGATTTAGAGTACGTTGTTTTACCATTTCGTAGTTGTCAGGCATAACTATGTCCTTTTTTCAAAAAGGCAAGGGTAGGTGATAATGTCCATCCTTGAGTTCTACTGAGCTTGATGCTATCTCCATGAACCTTTTGTCTTCACCTGACATTTCCTTCTTCTCTTCATAATCTTTTTCCGAGAAGTCCTGATTGTATTGTGTGATGAGATCATTCAGGTTGGCTACTGATATTCTGTTGACCATTGTGACCACAGGTCCGGATTCCACAGCAGTACAAGCGTTAAGTGGTCCATTTACCACCCATCCAAACACTGTCCTGACTGCATATGCCCATTTCCTTGACTTCTTATTATGTCCCAAGGTTCCATTGCCTTGGGAACATCAACTCCTATTAGAAGCTCTATGTCAGCATCAATTTCTTTCAGCTGTATGTCACTTAGATAAGGCCATCTTTCCAGATCCTTTTGGATAGGTACATTTTCTTTTGAGACAGGAATCTTACTCTGTGTGTACACCTGAGGTAGGTCAATGTAAGTACTGCCATCTAAATGTCCTATCTCCAATCCTTTGAGTTCGTAACTCTTTACAAGTCGTTCCTGACCCATTGTTCGTAGAACGACTGTCGTTTTTCGTGCTTTGGGATTCAGCTGTCTCATTAGATTCTCTGTGCAGAATGACGCTGAACTGCCGGGATCAAGAAAAGCATAGGTTGAGATAAACTATCTCCTTTGTGAACCTTGACTCGAACAGGCACTATGGCTAGGGCACAATCCCTACCGGCCCCAGTAGCTTCACCAGCCGAGACAAGTACACTGTTGACCCAAGCTCCTTTTGTTTCAGTAGGGGGAGGCTTTTGTAGAAGTGGACTGTCAATGTGAAGTATTGTTGGGTGGCTCTTTTGACACTTTTGACATGTCAGCCCTTTCCTACAGTTCCTGCTCATATGACCCCTCATCAAACATCCAAAACAATAACCATTAATCTTCAAAAAGTCAACCTTTTCCTTGTGTGGATGATGTTTGAACTGATGGCAATCAGTCAGCACGTGCTTGCCTTTACAAAAGTAGCAAGAAGAGGCAGGACTGCCCCCTTGTGGCTGTTTGAAGGTGCCACGCTGCTCTCCTGATCACATGCTGCTGCGATGATGGTGGTGAAGCTGCTGCCTCTACTTTTAGGTGTTCTGTGGCTCATGGGTTGGCTCCTAGTGGCCATCCTTGGGCTAGAGATGTGGCGATCCTGTATATCCCCAAATAATGGGTCCAGGAGTATTTTAGCTTGTTTTTCCATAAGCTCCACAAGGTCACGAAATCTAGCTCTCTCCTTTGTTCTCTGTAATATCTCATAAGCCACTGTCCGCCATTTTTCTCGCAGTTTGTAAGGGAGTTTAGATATTATTGATCTTAGATTGGAAGGAATATCTAGTTCATCCATGTACTTTAAATCTTGCATAGCATTGCAGCATCCTCTTAAATACATTGCATATGCCTGAAGCGCTTTGCCATCATCCGGTCTAATTGATGTCCAGTTCATTGCCTTTTCCAAATAAGCGCTGGTTACTTTGATCTCGTCCCCAAAGTGCTCCTTTAATAGCTTTTTGGCTTCTGTGTAACCTCTTTGGGTATCCATATGCAGGCAGCTGCGAACGAGATCTTTGGGCTGGCCGGAAGTGTACTGGTCGAGAAAGTAGAGCCTGTCATGACTGCTAGCTGTTTTATCCTCAATAAGGTGTTCGAAAGCTCGCATAAAGGACTGATATTCAAGTGGATCACCATCAAACACTTTTATCTCCATTGTTGGTAACAAGGTAAGTTTCTGCTGCATAATGATGAGGTCAGCAATATCTCTCTGTCTCTGTATAACAGTGTCCAGGTTATCATGGGTTTCATTGCGTTGGGTGGAGCTATGCATTGTGGGCGTTTTGAAAGGTCTAAACTGTATTGTGGGTTGCTGAGGGCTGCGAAGATTAATGACAGTCCTCTGAAGTGGTGTTTTAGGCACTGCACCCAATGGCATGAACTCCATGGCTGAGATTTCAGGATCCAAAGTGTCTGTGCTTTTTTCTTTGCTTTCCTCCAGATAAGCATTCATTCCATCTTGAATTTGATCCTCCATTTTTTCCTCCACGTCAATGCTTTGCAGAACCTTTATTTTAGCAGCAGATGCTGCAATTTCTGTGTCCAGTTCCATTTGTTCCAGTTGTAATAGCAGTGCATGTTTGCCCTTTAATCCAGCTGCTCTGGCTAGCAGGGCAGCCTTTTCAGCAGACGCTCTTCTACATGCTGAGGAGACTGAAGAGGTTTTTGAGCTCCTTGACTTGTGTGAAACATTAGAGATGCTGTCATGGGGATGAATCTTTGATTGTGCAATTTTTTCTCTTTTCCATACATCCACATCTTTCATACAATATTCAAAATGTGTCATTTTTGGCTCAAACCAGTCCACATGATCCTCCTCTCTCTCTTCCTCTGATAAAAGCTGCTGTACGGATCCATGAACACTGCACAAGTCATTTATATTTAGTTTGAACCAGTGCTGGAATTGGGCCGGTACTCACCGGTACGCAGTACCGGCACTTCTGGTTCTGACCCATGGAGTACCGGCACTTCTTGCTCAGTACCGGCATGCTGGCGGTACTCCGGTACTCATGCACCGTGCCAGTACTCAACACTCTCCCGCCGTTCTTATTATACATCCATATATATATATACAGCCGCCCGGTACTCAGTAGATGCGTCATGAGGTGCCGAACGGACATTCTCATCGCTCTAACCGCTGGAGTTTCACAGCGGCTGTCAGCTGTTTACTCCTGTCATTCAAACAGAACGTGCTGGAGAGGGGGCAGGGCTTATCTTCTCCATGTAAATACTGTGGTGGAAACGACTATGTCAATATTAACCTATTTGACCGTGATTTAATAGTAATACACGTTTCAAAATAATAATAATAATAATGCCGAAGTAACAACATACTGAAAACTGTTAGTAAAACCATGTTTTAATGCTTTACAATTTACATACCTAGATGCACGTGTGTTGTGTTTATGCAGTGCAACTCCCACCCAGTGGGTGGCTATGTAGAGTGATAGAACAGAGCAGGCACGCCCCCGAGAGAAGGAAAGCAAGTCACGTCACAAATTAGCATTTATAAAATGTTAGCGTGGATTAATAAAAGTGCAAAAAGACAGCGGTTGTCGCCGGAAGAAACTTCAAATACAGAGAATGCTGTGCCTGTGTTGGAAATTGTGTCTGATGGGGAGCTTTCTTTGGTTGATCCTCCTGCTCCAAGTTCTAGTGCATTAGCATTAGCACTAGCTCCGCCGCCTCCTCCAGAGCCTCTAACGTTAGCTGCTGCTGGCGCAACTGCCACCACCAACAGCGGGCAAAGCGATGCACCTGACTGCTGGACAACGGACCAGGTGCAATATTTTTGCAAGACCAATGCATGGCTCCTTCTTAAAGATAAGAAGCTAGGATGTCGGATATGCAGAGATGTCAAATCTTTGGGAATACACAATGGACAAGGACTGAAACTGTCAACTGAATGGGGTGAGTGTGCAGTGTCTCATTTCGGTGTTGACAAGGGCAAACAACAAGCTAGCCTGAGAAAAAAAATCAAAGAACATAAAGAATCACAAGCCCATGTAAAAGCTGCTGACATCCTTACATCTGCTTCATGTGAAACTATTCAACATCAAGTGCAGTCTATGCATAAATCTGAATTAGACACCACTATCAGAGTTTTTCGAACGGCATATACAATTGGCAAACATAGCCGGCCATTCACAGACATGCCAATTGATTTGAATGTACAGAAACTGAATGGGCTGAACGTGGGCAGGGTTTTGCACTCCAATAAAACCTGTGGCGAAATCATCGACCACATAGCTCATGAGCTGAAGAAAAAAATGGCAAAAGACATTACAGAAAACCAAAGAAAACTCTGTGTTTTGGTCGATGAATCTACCACTATTAGTGGTAAAACGGTGCTTGTTGTGTGTCTACGCTCAGCATTAGCTGATGCTGAGCCCGAAACGTTTTTTTGGGAGCTGATCGAGTTGGATGGAACAACGGCTGATGACATCACAAAGGCGTTAAAGGAGTGTCTTGGAAGAGATTTTAACGAGGACTTTTTAGGTCAGTGTTTCGTTTCTTTTGCATGTGATGGAGCTTCAGTCATGCTAGGGAAGAGAACAGGCGTTGCTACCCAGTTGTGCTCCAATCATCGTCTAGAGCTGGCAGTTGGGGATGTGGTCAAGGAGGTCTCAGGGCTCAATCATTTCCAGATCTTTTTTGACAAACTCTATTCCTTGTTCCATGCCTCCCCCAAAAATCAGAGGCAGTTAGCGCAGTGTGCGCAAGCAGTTGGACAGCGTCTACTGGTGATAGGGCGTGTTTTGTCCATCCGCTGGGTGGCTTCAAGTGAAAGGAGCGTCAGAGCAGTCTGGGAAAACTACCGAGTGCTTCATGATCACTTCACAAATGCTGCAAACGACACGAGCAGGGATTCCAGAGACAGAGCAAAGTACAAGGGCCTGGATGATGTGCTCACATCTGCAACGTTTGTCAGCAATCTGGGACTGATGTACGATGCGCTCACAGAGCTCAGCGACCTCTCTCGGCAACTCCAAAAAAGAGAGATGACACTGCCTACAGCAGATAGGCTCTTAACTCGAGAAATACGAGTTTTTGAATCCATGGTCACCATGCCTGGCCCACACATGACTACAGTTCATACAGCTCTAGCTGAGAAGTCCTTCAAGGGTGTTGCCCTGCGTGAGAATGGCAGGCTTGTACAGATTCATGCAGGTCAGTTTTTCCGCAGTATGGTAGAGAATCTGAGACACAGAATGACTTCCACAACCTCCTCTCATGTCAGCACAAGAGAAATCCCATTACATGGCCGGGAGGCCCGGGACAATCAGCTAATCCAGGACATGAAAGTTATCCATCCTGGAAGTTGGCCTGAAGAGGAGTTAGACGTACAGTATGGGGACATAGAGGTGCTACGTTTGTGCGAAGTGCTGAAAGTGGACAGAAGAGAGACTGTTCAGGGCTTTCGCGAATACAAGGAAACCAGGGCATCCCGTATACCTGCTGCCATGGAGCCTCTACTGAAAGCAGTCCGAACCATCGCTGTCTCCACTAGTGAGTGTGAGCGGGCATTCAGCTGCATGAACGATATCCTTACTGCAAAAAGGAATGCTCTCTCTGTCAGCCGACTGTCCAGCCTGGTTTTCATTAAATGTAATGGACCATCACTAGGACAGTTCAATCCGGAACAGTATGTGAGGTCCTGGCTGGTAAAGGGAAGGAGAAGTGCTGATGAAAGAGCCTGTCCAGCTCCAGCCCCTGATACTGATGTCCTCAAGGCCTTCTGGAGCCTTTTCTAACAATGTGAAGTATATTGCAAAGCAGCTCACCCAGTGAGAAGACTTTTGGCATAATGTGCCGATTTGTACAGATCCTGGAGATAGAAGGACTTCAGACCAACCAGGGAGTTATCTGATCAGCTTGGTGTTCAATGTAACTCTTTACCATGGCTCAGACTTTGTTACTTGCAGTTACAGTTTCTCATTTTAGATTGTGCAAATTTTGCATTTGTTTTTACATGTTCTTTGTTCATGCTCTTTATCATTTTTCTGAGTTGGAAAGTTAGATTGCATCATAGTTTACTTTATACATATTTGTATTCTTCAGTGGTGAAGTATATTGCAAAGCAGCTCAGCCATGTGAGAAGACTTTTGGCACTTTTTCGTTTTTCGTTTTCTGAGTTGGAAAGTTAGATTGCATTCAAAATGTACAGAAATACTTAATTTTGTTAAAGCTTTTTATAAAAAATGCTTCTGACCAGAGCTTTGTTTCCTTGTCATTAATGTTGAACACCACCAGAGGGGCTCTCACCTGAAAGGTCTCTGCTTCATGTGTCTTCAGCAGAAGATCTAGACTTTGATTGCTATATTTTCAGTTAATATTGACCTTACTGAGCTTTAGCCATATCCGCTGCTTATCATAAAAAATGTTAAGTACAGTGAACCTTTCTAAAATATACAGTATAAAGAGACAAACCCACCAGCATTATAGTAGCCAAATTCTTGTTTGTGGGCTGTATATATAAAATTGACTTGAAAAAGTTGCTGATTTTAGAGTACTGGCACCTTTTTCATTCCAATTCAAGCACTGGTTTGAACATTTCCAAAGCTTCATTCACATGTTCCACATTCCCATCCTCCACAAGCAAGGCCTTCATTTCGTTCATTTTCCTTGTGCATGCTCCTAATTTCCCACTGTGGGAGGCTTTGAGTGATTTTAACAATGTTTCTGCGTCAGCAGAAGTCCTGGGATCGTCCGACATTATTTATTTGTTTGTTTTTTAGGCCGTGCGTGAAAGACGTTGCGCTCCTTTAATGAGTCTCACAGAGCACGCCTACTGGCTTCCTTTGTTGCACAAACAAATTCAATCACAGTCTTTTCACAGACGATCCACAGGTATTTACAATCCTCCTCCAATGTGTGCATCGCCGTTATGATTTCCTTTTAGACTTTAACACGTCCGACATTCCAATCAATGCGTACACGGATTTATTCCATTTATTTACTCACGGCCGGCCCAGTCTGTCCGCTCCGGTGTGTCCCTCTTTTCCGGGGATCCAAACGGTGTGTGTATCTTCCTTACGGAGTTTTTCGACTTGATGTAATGGCATCCAAGGTTTCCTTTTGCCACTATAGAGCGGGGTTGACGACACGCAATCCAAAGCAATAAGCAGCCGAAGGTTTTCAGTCAAATGTTTTTATTTATTAACAAAAAGTATTGACTTAAATAGTCTCAAAATAACAAATCTAAATCAATATTTCGGCGGTATGCTTTCCTATATAAACTATACTTTGCAGTCCAATTTGCAACACTAATCTCTGTTTACAATTTGCGGTCGAAAAACTGTTCCGCTCCCCGTCTCATCAGGTCTCCGAGCACGCCGGCTGTCCTCAATTACCTCACACACCGGAAGGTACAAGGAAACAGATCATATTTACGATATAAAATTAACAATCATTTCCTCAAAACATATTCACCATGGCAATATAAATCATTTTCCATCATTAAATCATTTATCAAATTATGAATCGAAATAATAACTTTGTGGCTCTAACTTTGTGGCCCCTAATTGTTGACGCAGTAGCAAAACAATTAATACATTATAATAGAGCCAAAAAACAAGCAGTTACTCAAAATGTAACTGTCATCAATATACAATCATTGTCATAGTTCACAGTCCAATGTTTGTGTTAGGTGTGTTTGCACGAGTTCAAGAGGAAAAGGGGGGGGGGGGGGCATGTGTGTGTGTGATACTGGGTGTCAGATATGAGGGGCCGTGTAGGCCAAAATTCAAACTCACCTCACACACACACTACTGAAAACATCTGGCCTTGCACACACACTACTGAAATACTCTCACATTCACTACTGAACACCTCACACACACTACTGAAAATTAAGCCTCACACACACACTATTGAAATCCTCTCACATTCACTACTGAACACCTCACACACACTACTGAAAATTAAGCCTCACACACACACTACTGAAAACATCTGGCCTTGCACACACACTACTGAAATCCTCTCACATTCACTACTGAACACCTCACACACATACTACTGAAAACATCTGGCCTTGCACACACACTACTGAAATCCTCTCACATTCACTACTGAACACCTCACACACACACTACTGAAAATTAAGCCTCACACACACACACTACTGAAATCCTCTCACATTCACTACTGAACACCTCACACACACAATACTGAAAATTAATCTCACACACACACACTCCTGAAAAGCATTTTACTGAAAGGTTCTCAGTAGGGAATGTGCATGTGTTTCACCTATGTGTGTGTGAGGGGATTCTTGCTGTAACGGAAGTCATTCTAATGTAACGGAAGTCATCTGCTAGTGGTCTCTTTGCTAGCCCCGTTAGCTTCATTAGCTCCAGGCTGCTACTCGGACGTGTTTTTTGTGTTGATGCCTGGTGGAGTATTCTTCATTGAAATATCGCACTTATCTTATGGCTCTGCAGTTCAAACAGACCGTCTATGAATGCAGTTTATTCGGTAAGTGAAATTCAAGCACTTTATTTCTTACTTGTCTTTTTATTCAGCTAACAAGCGAGACGAAGCTACATCTGTGCTAACGATGCTATCCGTAGCATACAAGTTAAAACATAATAGAGAAGTGTAAAACATTAAGAAGGATTATACTGTAAAACATAAGGCTTCTCGGTGAGGTTGGTAAAATAAGGTCATGCTTGTACATTAGTTAGTTTGCTAGTTAGGTAACTGTATGCATTGTTATTGTTAATTTAAAATAGCTATGCTCGACGATGCAGACAGCTAGCGTCACATTAGTGTTGAAGAGCAGAGTACGAGATTAACTCATAGATTAACCTCACTATAAGATCTGTGTATCTGAAAAATATGAATCTCACATTTCCAGTTGGTTCCAGAAATAACGTTGACGTAGATATTGCAATATGGTTTGTTGAGCTGGAGTTGATTGTTGAAGCTTACTGGTTAACGTTCATCATATTAAACGAACGAACCCAAACGTTGTTGTTTTTATTAATATTATTACCAATACTTATTTAGCATTTTATTATCATTACACTGGAGAATCCGATTTATTGTGGCAGCAGAACGTGAACATGTAACTTAATGCCTGCATTTGAGGACGAAAAATAGCTCAGTCAATGCTTTAGGGACAAGGAAATGATTTGTTTAAATATTAGATATGACGTTATGTGTGCTTCTGTGACAATGAAGCTTATTCATTGCATTACATTTGTTGAAGATGTTTGTCTTTTACCCTTACGTGTGTGTTACAAATGAATGTGAATATGGCATAGTACAAATATTTAAATTGACTGTCTCATGAAAAACGATTCTAAAATAAAAAGGACCCCAAAGTGAGTCAGCAAAACTTTCAATAATAATCTAAGGTATTGAGTTTTGGGACGTTACTTGCATACAAATCTATAAATGCCTTAAGGTTTCTAAAACATACAGACCAGACTGTATTCAAACTCTTAAGTACCAGTTCTATCTACTTTAAACAATTAAAAAGACAAAATCAACTACATTTATTGATATACCAATCTTTATTTTTGGGGCCTCTTCTTCTTTTAAATTAAACTTTCAGACATGAGATATTGAAATACAGTAATAGTTTTGTCTATTTAAAAAAGAATGAGCCATTCCTTACAGTTAACTTCATATTTCTTATTGTCTAAAGCATTTATGACACACATTTCCCCCTCATATTCACAGTGTGGATCAATTGAGACAGCGTGCAGAGACTTTGGGAGAAACCTCAGCATGACGGATGTCCTGTCTGTGGGTTTGGCTGGAGAGGACTGAGGTGGAGAGGTCTTTCTCTGGGAGGAGGGCCAGGCCTGATGGAGGAGGACCAGGCCTGATGAAGAAACCCCCTAACTGCATCTGTGAGCACATACTGGGCTCAGCTGTCACAAACAAATGATGGTCCTGTTTGACTTTGTGTTCACAATAAAAGTGTAGTTTCTTAGTGAATGTCCTGTATTGGTCTTTAATCTGAAATCAGCTTTTCATTTTCTTCTTGCCCCTCTGAGAAAACGGTGAGGCAGTTGTGTCCTTCAGGTATGTCCTTTCCTAACAGAAATGACAAGAAACATATGACATTATTGCAGAGCAAGTGTGTTATTTATGAAAGGTTTGTTTATTTAGCGGCTGTAGAAATAATGTATTTTTTTAATTGTAATGTGTTTTTTTAATTCATCACTTTGTACTACAAAGATAATTAGATTATGAATGAACAGTCTGCAGTTAATCAACATTAAAATATCTTATTAAATAATATTAAACTGCTCGGTTGTCTCACTGCAAGAACCACTTTTACCACGTCTTTTACAGACAATATGTAGAGACAAATGGTAGCAATTCTCACAATGTAAAATAATAATTGCCTTAAATACATTGAAATGTTAAAGCTGATTATAGTTGTTACTTTATCTATTTAAACCAGAACGTTTCTCGATTCTTTGTACAGTATGAAAGGAGTCTTTGTACCTTTGAGTCCATGCTGAAGTTCACTGATGTTAGGAATAGGTATGTCTCTCGTGGTCAGCATCCTCTGGTCTGTCTGCATCACCTGGAAACTTTAAACAAACAGATGTATATGCAAAGTAACAATGTGTTGGTCACAGACTTGTTTTTACATGCAAATGTCATGTGATAATCTTTTTGTTATCCTTAAAAAAAGTGCTGGATATCAAAGCCCACACACACGTAAGGGTAAAAGACAAACATCTTCAACAAATGTAATGCAATGAATAAGCTTCATTGTCACAGAAGCACACATAACGTCATATCTAATATTTAAACAAATAATTTCCTTGTCCCTAAAGCATTGACTGAGCTATTTTTCGTCCTCAAATGCAGGCATTAAGTTACATGTTCACGTTCTGCTGCCACAATAAATCGGTTTCTCCAGTGTAATGATAATAAAATGCTAAGTAAGTATTGGTGATAATATTAATAAAAACAACAACGTTTGGGTTCGTTCGTTTAATATGATGAACGTTAACCAGTAAGCTTCAACAATCAACTCCAGCTCAACAAACCATATTGCAATATCTACGTTAACGTTATTTCTGGAACCAACTGGAAATGTGAGATTCATATTTTTCAGATACACAGATCTTATAGTGAGGTTAATCTATGGGTTAATCTCATACTCTGCTCTTCAACACTAATGTGACGCTAGCTGTCTGCATCGTCGAGCAAAGCAGGGTTTCCCACACATAGACTATACCTGGGCGGGCCGCCCAGGTATATTAACGGCCGCCCATATATATATATGTATATTTCGCGACCCATTTAGTTTTTTTTGTTTTTTTTTATAAGTTTTTTTTTTAATGTTTTTTTTTTTTTATTCGTCCGTGACCACGACGCCATCTGCGATCGATTAACTTGTAGACAATGATCCCTCGCTCCCTTGCTCTGATCTCGCCTCCTTCTGGCCTGTTAAGTGGCCTGCCTCACACAGGGTGACTGGCTGTCCACATGATGTGGCCTGCCGACATGGCCACTGTCATACAGATCATAAATCAAAGCCCTTGATTGGTCTCTGTGTGTCATTCAAGCTCGGGATAACCTCAGCTCAGGTGAGGTAAAGGACTCTCTGAGTGTTTAGATAGTTAACTTAGTCTAAGTTCTCAGTGGGTCTCAAACGGTGTGGTCACCATTTATGTAAACACATATTTCCATTTGAGAGGGTAGTGATTGGTCTAATGGATAGTGAGGTGGGCTGAAGATCGGAAGACTGTGAGTTCAAATCCCGCCAGGAACACCACCACTAGTGTGCCCTTGAGTAAGGCACTTAGCCCTTAGTTACTCCAGGGAGAATGTCCCTGTAATCGGTCATTATAAGTCGCTTTGGATAAAAGCGTCAGCTAAATGAAATGTAATGTGATTAGTAAAATATGCATGAATAAATAAATAAAAAGTTAAGTAGGTGAAAAAAGGTAAGATACACTTTTAAAACTTGTTGAGATAAAACTAGTCTTTGCTGCTGCCTCAAAGAGCAGCAGGGGGAGAGGAGGGAGACAGGAGAGGCTGATTCAGGAGCACAGACACACTCACAACTATAAATGAACC